TGAGTTCAATCCTCACACGCCATGTATATTTTGATCTTAACGTGTATAGCTTGGAGGAAAGACGAGACAGGGGGGATATGATAGAAACATTTAAATGCATAAAGGGAATCAACACAGTAAAGGAGGAGACTATATTTAAAAGAAGAAAAACTACCACAACAAGAGGACATAGTCTTAAATTAGAGGGGCAAAAATTTAACTATAAGTATTACTTTACAGAGAGAGTAGTGGACACTTGGAACAGCCTTCCAGCTGAAGTGGTAGAGGTTAACACAGTCAAGGAGTTTAAGTATGCATGGGATAGGCATAAGGCTATCCTAACTATAAGATAAGGCCAGGGACTAATGAAAGTATTTAGACAATTGGGCAGACCAGTGGGGCCAAATGTTTTTTTTTCCGGCTTTCACATTTTAAGGACTGTCCCCTACCGCTCTCTTCCATTCCTCTCCTTACCTTCTTACTAGCAGGCAGAAGCTCCTGTTATACAGTCAAAGGTGTATGTACTGAGTGTAGAAGAAAGGAAACATGCGGCAGTGTTAGAGAGGCAGAAGCAGCAAGAGCATTTGCATTGTGCACAAAGTCAGCTTTACCTTAACTAATTTCATTGTCAGCTGGCCCGCACCAGTTTTGTTCCTCACCATCCTTCTTGAGTTTCCATACTTAAGCAACAGAATGTGAAGAGTAGTAAAATATATATATATATTATTTTTTATTTTTTTTATCAGTGGGCCTGAAACTGCAGCTTTATCAGCCTCTATGTTAATCCGGCCCTGATAGGAGGTCATTGTTTGAGAGATTTTTCCTTTGGTGATAATGAGCTGTTTTTGTTATAGGGGATGTATTCAGACTTTGCCCACCTCTATATGGGCCCCCATAGTCCTGTCCCCACATGTCACCTCACACCAACGAAACAGAAACTAAATGGAGGGGCTTGAAGTCCAGACTCCATTTGAAAAATGATGGGACTTTTGTTTTTGTCCCACAGTTAGCTAGTAGGATGTAGTAATTTTTTTTTTTTTTTTAAAGCAAACATGTTGCGACACATTCATAAATTAATCTGATTTATACGTGTATGCTTGTTCTATGTGTTCTGTCTCTTGTGTCAGTAATTTTATATTATCGTTAATTATGTACATTTCCTTTCTGTCTCCCATCTTGTGATTTTACCAGCAGGGGGCGTTGCCCTATGGTTCTAGGACAGTTTTTCCTGAGCAATCCAGACACTCAGCCCTGCCACGCTCTTAAGTCTCCCATATCATCTACAGACCTTTCATAGTGTTAGTTGAGGATTATAGTAGTTTAAAGGGTTACAGTCAGTGTGGTTAAGATTATTATACAGTATTTTCTTTTTTTACTGTAAAAGTAGGTCTCCAACTTCAAAAAGCTCTCCTCTCATCTATCACTTAAAGTGACAAAATGCAAGAACGTATGCCCAATTTTCTTAATGCATTATTTACATAAACCATTAAGAAATACATATACAAGACTAATATATATATATATTAATTAATAACAAAATACCTTTAAAGTTTCATATATCTCAGTGCTTGTGCAGGCAAATGCTGCATCATGAAGATCCACCAATCAGAAGCCTTCTTTTTCTATAGGATTTTTTTCCCATCTCATAAACCTCTGTTTAGTATGCAGCAGGCATAAATCGGATGGATCTTGGATGTAAAGCAGGAAGTAAAACTGATTCCTTAGACATTACTAAGATGGGGTGGGATCAGCATACTAACTCAATGATTGATAAGTATTTTATGAGGTTTTTTTTATAATTGATTATATATGTTATTTCCTTTTTGAATATACCATTAGTGAACAATAAATTTGACCTATTACCAGATTTTCTGTCAATTAATTATAGTTTAAAAAAAAAAAAAGGTGTGTAGTTCTATTTTATTTTTTATTTGGCGGCATTTGTTAATAATAAATCCTTGTTAATTGTGTACATTTATTCACATATCCATCCAGAGCACCCTTTCTTCTTCTCACACCTCCTCTTACACCTGGTAGGGCTAACCAACTAGAAGCATTTGTGTAGAATAAATTAGTAAGAGGGAATAATAATGCTATAATGAAAGTACCCAGTAAGGTCAATATTTTGGGATGTGATAATTTTATAACCTAATGAAACATCTGTAATGTTAAAGTTCTACCACTAGATGTCGTTCTTCACACAAAAACATCATGGAGCATTTCGAGCTTTGCAAAATAAAATACAGAAAATTATTACACAAAACCAGAAAAAAATAGCATTATGGCATGCAATAAATGTGACCTAATTTGCCATTTTTTTCTGACCCCTTTACTATGCTGATCTCTGGTGGTCCAGTGTGCGTGCAATCTGGTCTGCGCTTGCGCTTCCATGTGTGATATTTGTTATTAATGTATTGACTGTCTTTGTGATGGTTATTTTATTCAGTTTTGATATTGGGGTACTGTGAAGTAGTGGTGGGCTTCACACAATATGACCGTAGGGTGAAACTGAATTCCCATACTTGTTTGCTGCAATGGGGAATTTTTAGCTAGCCTTATAAAATGTAAAAATTTATTTTTATGTCTGCGCTGTTCCTTAATCTGTATTATGTGTGACTTTTGGGCACTGCGGCAGCACTATTCCTGCAGAATGCATGTTCTAGGTAATACTAACACACACACACACACTCTCTTTTTTTTTTCAATTTGACAATTTTTATTAACTTTTTCCAGGGATACAGAAAAGAAACTGGGGTAACGGGGGAAAAGGAATTTCTTATCATCATCATAATACTGTGAGATCATCTCTACATTAACTGTTAGTCTAGTACATTTTGCATTATTCTACAGTTCCCTGTCAATGAACAGGTTTCCAGTAGCATGGGGGGGACTCTCTCTATCTCTTAAAAGTTAAAGACAGAGAGACACACTGTTACAGACAGTTACCTCTTTATTGGCACTTGGGGAGGAGGATTGGAAGCAATGAAGTTCTTGATGTCTAGTTGTTGGGGAATCAGGGACTCCTTCCTGCTTTCCCCTCCATGTGCAGCAGTTACCGGGTACAGGCTGCATTTAGCTCCACTGCAGATGCCCACGTAGCTTTGTCCCACAGTATATTTAGCTCCACCCCCACTCCCTTACTTGTGGCAGACTATTGAAAGGTTGCCACTGCACAGCCCCTACCTTTGCAAACTATGGGTGTACCCCTGCAGCCATGGGTGCACCTCCAGCCCCCCGATATACAGATAATCACGAAGCAGAGCACTGAATTGAATTTTTACAAATTTTTATCTTTATTTCCAATAGGGTTGTATTAAATTATCAACGTTTCAGTTCATATGGCGACATTCGTCATATATATGTAAATAATAAAAGCCAAATGGCTGCCTTCACCTGAACATGCATACTTATAAGGGTGCTCCTGGGGTCAATTCATATAACATACAAAGATCCAGCGCACTCACTCATTCACTAAACAGCAATTTCAAAGTTTACAGATTATAATAGTTTTTCTCTAGTCTTCCTGTTTCTGTGCAGGATGTGAATCAGGGAAGATCATGTAGACTGTCAGTTGTCAAACACTGTCTGACCCAAGGTGTATGTATATGACTGAAAGATCCGGTCATACGCTAAATGTAGGGATGAGTTTTTCTTACTTTTTAACATAATAATTTTTTTTTAAAATACACTTCCTTTCAAAACTTGATGAAAGTATTACTATATTAAAAATTGTTTTGAGGTGACAGTTCTTCCTTCCGCTCAATAAATACATGTGAAATTTGGAAAACCTCTTGCAGGATCAAAAATGGGTTTCATCCTGACTGCGCTTACATTTCAGATACTTTCTATCCAGACGTTAAGGCTACAAGAAGGATGACTTTAAGGATCATAAGGTATAGGGCAGGTGTGCCCAAAAGGTATATCCACAGGTGTTTAAAACTACAGCTTCCATGATGCTTTGTCATTCTAAAGGCATGCAAAGCATCATGGTAGTTGTAGTCCTACAACATCTGGGGATTTACCTATTGGGCACCCCTGGTATAGGGTACACCTTCTAGAAGCTCAGAAGGAGAGTGCATGAGAGCTTTGAGAACCTGTGGAAGGTCCCAGGAGGGGAGCTAGACAACACAGTTTTCTGGATTCTGCTTATGTATTCATCGAATGCCAATTTATTTTATTACCTTGCTTTAACTTTCCTTATTGTTTTTTTATTTTATTAATAAAGCCCTTGCTCTGCCACAGACATTATAGGATCCTGTTGCCCTGCAGGTCATACTTGTAAGGGTGGGTCGGTCTACCAAGTCAATGACAGAGACTAAGAGTACATGAACTTGTAGTAAGCTTCAAAATAAAAAAACAAGTCTGAACATAAGGGGCCACGAAAAGAAAGACAGAGGATAGGCAATATAGGAGTTTTTTTTGTTTCTTTTAAATAAGAGGTTAGGTGAGTGAGTTTTACTCATTGTCTTGCCATGGATATAGCTGGGAAATTCGGTTTATCTAAATAAACAATGCCTGTTTTAAGAAATCGAGAACTATAATTTGAATCTCAGTGTATTGAATTACCTCTCGAACCTACACCTGAAGCTGTTCAATCAATACTTTAGTGTTAGTTTGTATGTTGTGGGTGTTATTCTTTCCCAGTTTCTAAGGACTATGGAACTTTTTTAAAATGATCAAATCTTTAGAATTATGTTAGTGTTTATTATTAGAAAGTTTTACTTTTGTATCTATGAATCTTTTTTGTTTAAATGTTTCAAATGTAAATTTTTCAGCCACAATAATTTTTGAATACTCTATATGGCCAAATGTATGTGGACAACTGGACACCCCTCTTATTGTAAAGCGCTGCGGAATTAACGGACGCTATATAAAAATACCAATAATAATAATAATAATAATTTATGACACTTCACCAAATAACTCTGAATTTGGTAGATGTCAATAGTACATACCAGCCTTCACAGACTATTGTCAGCGATTAAATATGGTGGGCAAGGTCTTGGGTGTTTTTCAGGGTTCTGTAGAGGTGTGTTAGCCCCAGCGAGAGACAATGTAACACCTCAGAAAGCAACAGAATTCTTTTTAACTTGTGCTTCTGTAATCCCTACTGAAAAATGTAACTGTGAGGATAAATATGCTACTGGAGATAAATAATCACAATGAAAAGCTGCTAATACACTTGTGAGGGATTCCTAAGTGAGTGTGTCTAAGTATACAAACATTCATCATAGTAACAAACACTGTTACCCCTCATATCTTCTATTCTCATGTTGTTAGGGTGAAGATTAAACTTTGCAAAGGAGTTGGTGCCATAATAATTAGCACAGGCACTGAACAGATATAGAGCCTCATTCACAGACTCATTACTGCATGATTGTGTGTGTATATATAGACTCCTTTTTTGGTGCTTCCTGAAAGGGACACTATAGTCACGAAAACAACTTAAGCTTATTGAAGCCGTTTTGGTGTATAGATCGTGCCCCTGCAGTCTCACTGCTCAATTATCTGCCATTTAGGAGTTAAGTCACTTTGTTTACACAGCCCTAGTCACACCTACATGCATGTGACTTACACAGCCTTCCTAAACATTTCCTCTAAAGAGAGATCTAATGTTTACACTTTCTTTATTGCAAATTATGTTTAATTTAGAATTTCTTATCTCCTGCTTTGTTAATAGCTTGCTAGAACCCGCATGAGCCTCCTGTATGTAATTTAACTTCAATTTACAGATCAGGAGATAAAAACTTTTAAAGTAAGTTACATCTTATTAAACGTGAACTTGTTTCAGGCTGTGTGAGTCACAGTCAGGGAAGGTGTGGCTAGGGCTGCATGGACAGAAACAAAAGTGATTTAACTCCCAAATGGCAGTGGATTGAGCAGTGAATCTTCAGAGGCACGATCTATACACAAAAACTGCTCTGAAGTTGGTTTGATGACTGCAGTGGTCCTTCAAGGTACAAAGTATCTTTCAAGCTCCTTGTTATGTAGTCCAACTTCCTTGTCTGTCCATGCAAGAATCTTTGTCATTCTCAGATACAGGAGGGACATATTACTGTAACGGACTTCATGGCTCCAGTCTGGACTGAAGGATGGTTGAGGAGGTCTACTTTTTACTAGGCATTATTCTGCCATGTAGTGATATAGAGAAGAGAAATGAGTGCCCTAGATGCATTAAAATATAACCTTTAATAGTAATGATTAAAATCTAGTATAAGTATCCATAGTGAGGGTATGTATTTTGTTACGTATTTTGAGGCTGTATTTTGTTGCATATTTTCAGCAGTGCCTACTTCGGCTCACCATCACATACCGGTCCAAGCATTTAGGCAGATATATATATATATATATCTTTTGTGCAGCCACATATATCTTTCTCTCCTGCACTGCTTTATATGCATTTGTGGTGCCTCATTTATCATTATATATATATAAGCATTACTGTAGCATTTAATCGGTCTAATCTTCATAGCAAGCGCTATCTTACGCAACTATTGTGGATTGCAGAACTATGTTTTGCACACATTATTAGGTTAAGGTCTCTGAAAACGAATTAACAACAGGACCTTTTACCAGTCTGTATATACTTCAGTTAATTACCGATACTGATTTCTCAGGCAGGTCTTTCAAATACCTCTCTTCAAATCTGCTACAAGTACTGTTACATTGTCTTCTTACTATAGGTTTTTGATACAACCACGTCCTTCTACCGAAATATTGACACTGTTTTATCAGACTGTATAGCAAGCACTATTTTATTCAGCCACTGTGGATTGCAAAACTTTGCACACACTACTAGGTGAATGTCTCTGAAACACTTATGAACAGGACCTTTTACCAGATTGTATATACTTCAGTTTATTATCGATACCAATTTTTCAGAATGTATATACTTTAGTTCATCACCCTATGTATGGATACGGATTTATTAGACTGCAGATACCTTAGTTTATAATTTTGTACACGTATCTCTATAGCTAGCGCTAATTACCTAGCTATTGTGGTTTGCTCGCATATACCACTAGGTAAAGGTCTCTGGATCTTTTTGAACAGGACCCCTGTATACCATCATCATTGCGTTTACAGGGTCTTCCTATATATTGTTCCATTGACATTCAATTATCAGATTGTTTATATACCTGAGTTTATTATTATTTTAGCATTACCCTCACTATGGATACCTATACTAGATTTTAATCATTACTATTAAAGGTTATATTTTAATACATCTAGGGCACGCATTTCTCTTCTCTATATCCCTACTTCTCTAGCCCTTGGGTTAACCCCAAATACGAGTGCTCCCCTAGCTTTCACTCTCCTGCTTTGTCCTTTATTCTGCCATTTAGATGGGCTCTATCAACCTGAAGTTTGGGATCCAGGTTTGGAACATAAATATGACTTGAGTTGTTAATTATTATTATTTGCTGTGAGGGTGAGCTCACAAGGTGCCAAGCAAATGTTTAACTAAACCAAAAGATGTAGAAATGTGAAGGTAAGAAGGTGAGAAAGTGAAAAGAATTGTTGGGACACTATGGCCTCGATTTAATATTGTTGGATACATTTTCCAAATGATTTCAGATTTTTTTTTAAATACATTTTTTAAATGATTTAATATTATAAAAAATATTTTAATTACGTGATAGATTTATATTTTGATATAGTTATATATTTTTTTTATATGTAAAAAAATATTCTAAGTTTATTCAAAAGATTAAATCATGTGAAAAGCGTATTCCAAAAATGTTAAATCGAGACCAAAATGCCTAAATGTAAGCAGATGTATTTAGAATGGTGGCTTAGAATAGTTAGTAAGGCTTACCCCGTGTAGCTCTTGTCCTTCTGATAACAGTGCTCCATAGTTCCAGAGCTGAAATACCCAACTGGATTTTCAGCAAGACTACCGTGGACAAAAAGTGTCCACTGCGTAAGTTTTTTTAATGATGTTTTACATTCTAGAATTGTACTTCTCATACAAGAGGAATCCTAGCATGCTAATTTGTATGGGTTTGTTTGCAAATTTGCTTTGTTGACGCTTTCTCATTTTAATATTCCTTCAAAGAAGAATGATGATACCGTGTTATCCGGTATAATAAAATGTCAAGCGGGAGGCAAAGTACTTCATTAATAAAGAAATTTCAAAATTGATGTAAGACTGTAATGGCTACTCACATGACAGCAAATGCAATTGTCTACAACACAGAGGTCTATTCATCTGACCTGGCAAATAGATACGAAACAGCATAGATCAGAAGGGACATCAGCTTGCTTACAGCTTGCACTTTCTATCCTCCGTAATCCATTTATAGATATGACCTTTACATCAATGTTATGACTTCTTTATTACAAAAGTACTTTGAATACCTACAGTTCTATTAGAACACATTTTATATCAGTTACAATAGAGTCCTGCTGCAATCTTCTATAATGTGTCTCGATATCACACATACACTCGTTATCTTGCTTTTTTATTCTCCAGCTTGGAATAAATTTCATTTTTATTTAACACTTTTAAATATTTTAAAGGAAAAATATACAGGAATCTAAGGCTTCACTCTGTTCTATACATCTATTTCATATTTATCATTCTCTTGTGTTTTATGTATAATGTCTCTGACTATGTTGTGGACTGAATAGAAAATGCGTTGTCCTTTCCGATATTCCGATAGTAACATAAACACAATTATTTTAAGGAATCGACGTACTTATTTTTAAAGGGACACTCCAGACCTCTAAAGCACTTTAGCTTCCTGAAAAGCTTTATATGTGAAGAGTACGTCCTCTTTATTTCATTTTGCAAAAAGTGCAGATTTCAATAGAAATTGATACTTTTATAAATTAACAATGTTACACCCCCAGCTATCAATTAGACAACAGCTCCTGTTACTTCCTGGTTTGTTTAACTCAGTGGAGCTAAACTCAAGAGGCAGCAATTGCCCAGAGCACCCCCAAAACCTTTTCATTGAGCTGCACTGGGAAGTCTGTGATTGGGCAGCCACAGAAAGGCTAGGCGGGGTTAGAAAAGGAGGGCTTGCAAAGGCTGCAGACAAGAGAACTGCAGATTTTGCATGAGGTTTTTAGATATACCCCGATGAAAAAAATGCATTATTAATAGCATGCATGCGGTACTTTGGGGTAGATCTACTAAACAGTGATTTTTAAAATGTATTTTGTATTTGGGTAGAGGAGTGTCCTATTACTATATATGTCTTTACATATCTCTGTTGTTTACTTTTATATTCATGACCGTAAATTTCTGTAACATGTAAATAAAATAAAATGTCTACTAAAATGTATGAATGTATAAATGTAAAATATAGGCAATCCTAGAAAGAAATACACAAGTTTTACAAAGGAAAATGCATTTTAATACATTTCTACATTTGTACATGTGCAAATTTAACTACACATATATCAAAGTTATGAATGTAACATAATACACATTAAATAAAACAATTATGGTTCACTTGACCACACATTATTAACACAATGATCTGACAACATAGTTCACCCACCATCAAATACAAAGTAGTCTTTCGAAAATTATAATTGTTGTGCCTATTAAAATAAAGTGCATTTTTTCCTTTAGAAACAAAAATTGAGAAAACAATTCACCAGTTTATTAACATGCAATCTGTAAACTATTGTTAGCCGTAGATGTCAGAAAAATGTTTCTTACAACAAAAATAAAAAGCAGCCAGTACGTTACATTCGTATAAAAAAAAAAAGGATCTAGCACAACGATACAACTAAGGACCAATTGTCTAACCATATTATTATAGAATGGTTCTGCAGTACCCTGTGTCTGCTGCAAGAGGGCGCTGTGCCAAGCACAGAAGATTGTAAATACAATGCATGCAATAAAAAAAAAAACACAAAAATAATGTGTAGAAAAATAATAAATAAAATAATCCACTATTATTTGCGCGCACATAAACACACATATATAAAAGTTTAGCTCTTATTTTCATTGTCAAGTGGAAGATTTTTAAGAAACACCCCATGTACTTTTTCAACCGGTTATTAACCATTTACACGAGAAATATAATTTTGACTTTTCAATATTCTTGCTCACAAAATGAACACATACAATCTTTCATCCAATTAGTAATACAAATTCATGTCACACCAATATGTTTCGGCATCAGTGGTTCTCAAACGCTTAGCAAGAACCCAAAAATAATTCCCCTCGCAATGGGTCCTTAATGACTGGAATAGGTAACAACCCACACGCTAGTTCCCATGGTAATGTGATAAACATCATTTAATAACCAAAAAAAAAAAAGGGGTTAAGAACCATTATATTATTTTAAATTGTAGGAAACACTTACGTTTTAACAACACATTAGTGTTCGTAAAATGATGATGTTTTAAAAAATATGTTAAAAATTTAAAACGACTAGTTTTCCATATATAGTAGATCACATATAATACGTCATTTGTGGAGGGACATAGCCAGAGGATGATCTAGTCTAGTAGACAATCTTGCCTCTTGAGATTATGCATTATTGACAGTTAGATCACAACTGTCCATACTGCAACAAACCCCCCCCCCCCAGAAAAACAGATTGCAGAAAAAAGGGACATCACACGTACTGAGTACGAAAAGACACAAAAAGGCATTTTGACTATATTTTAGCTCTTTTGTTATTCTTTATTGAAAATGTATATGGATACACTTATTGCTTTCTGAATAAATTTAGGTCTTGTAAACTGAAGAAGGCTTAGTTACCAAGAGCAACCACTGTATCCATCCCCATCATGTAATTACTGCAACTCCCGATGTTCTGGGTCAGGCAGTGGGGATTGTGGTCCAGGCAATTGCTGGAATTGGACAGGTTAGCAGCTGTTGGTAAAATCTAGTTTGCGTTATCTTGTCATCTAGCAGACAAGCAGTAATGAGATGTTATGCTTGTGCACAAACATGTCATTTTTTTTAACTGACACATTAATGTTCTCATAATATCTATTTATACGAAGACACCCATTATCGTACGATTCTACACGGCTATATATTTTCTGCCGTCAAGTATAGAGCACACACTTTATTTGATTCAGTACACTCATACAACAATAGCATCATATCATATTAATTGGAAGAAATTATTTATTAAACCATGCCACACATAATAATTTTTTTTTTGCGCTGAACTAAAACTCTTGGCATGGAGCCTGGCGTCTATTCGATGCAGCCAAAAATATCCATGGCCCTTGACCAAAACTTATAATATAGGCCAGTCCTTTATTCTAAACTGTTATGCTACATCAAGCAAATTCATGTAATGGAAGACAGCATTGCCAAGGGCAGAATATAGCATTAAAACAATTTTTTTTTTTTTTGTGAAGTCAAATAAATGAATTTTAAGAGGTGACTTATGTATCAAACATAGGCTACCTTGTATCAGCACTTGCATCAGCCTTAGCCAATCAAACTTGGAGTCAAAATATTTTTTTAAGAAGGTGGGTTATAAATTAGGGGTTTATTTATTAGACATGTAATATGCAAAATTTAGGCCAAATAATTTATATAGAATTAAGGCCTCCGTTTAATATTTTTGGATGCATTTTTAAATTAATTTTAATATTGTGAATTTGTTTTAATATTTTCACATTTTTGTTAAGTGTATTATATATATAAATATTTTAAAAGTGTTACCAAAAATATGAAATCATTTGAAAAGATTATCTCCAATAACATTCATTTGAGGACTACATTTTTTAATTGCTACAAGGAGGAAATTTTATTATATTTCAGCAGTTTCGTAAAAAATTTGTCTTGCCAGCCCATCCCATTTGATCATTTGAGAATATTCCCCTCCACGCATGTGTCTCTAGCAGATGTTGCAAAACGAAAAAGTAATCTCGTTACAGATGTGTTCGACTTATGAACAAGCTATAGACAGATATCGAGTGAAATATTTTGAAACATCTCTCATCTGTGAAAATGATTCAGTTCCTATCTGATTTTTCTGTAAATAATTGCGGTAGACGAGCAATAGTTATCAATGCATGGTGTGTATCTCCTACTGGACATTAACTTATGTACCTGCCAAATATTATTGCATGTACCTGCCAAAATTCTGAATGTCTGGAGATGGCTTTGCTTTGGTTGTGTAAGTCAGCTGTGCAAGTGAGGTTGTGCTGGTAGTCAGAATTCCAAGCAGTGACCAGTCAATGCTCTGTTCATGCATCAAATCTGTGTACATGTCACTGCAAATCTTCTGATGAACAGGCTGGTAGATCAGACTGCAGGTACGTGTAATCTTACTGACATTATGGAGACAAGGCTGAATATCTATTGCAAACTTTAAAAACAAAAGATTTGCAGTTCCCATTTTATAGAGATTTCTTCTCTAAAAGTACATGCTGTATTTTATTACTAGCTCGGGATTCCAGTATATCAAGTTTTTTTTTTTTAATATAATGTTCCATTATATTATATGTCTACCACACTATATCTTATGATCTGGGTCATCGTAGTAGACATTTACTATTAGCCAAAGGCAAGACAACTACCTACAGAATATGTTTTCAAAGAGCAATGATAACTTCTTCACCACTGGTGACTGACTACCTAGTAAAGTGTATTTAAAGGGACACTGTAGGCACCCAGACCACTTCAGCTCATTGAAGTTGTCTGGGTGCAATGTCCCATGTCCCTTAACCTTACAGTGGTAATTATTGCAGTTTCTGAGAAACTACAATAAATACCTCTGAGGGTTAACTCCACCTTTACCAGACTGCCACTAGAATGATTTCCTGAAGTGAAACGGCCTTTGGTCCGATATCTGACATCTGATATCTAACCCCTTCAGCGACGCGGGAGGAAGGGGCGCAAGGGAGGGGAGCACTATAGGATTCTATAGTGCCAGAAAAACAGCTTTGTTTTCCTGGTACTAGAGAATCCTTTTAATAAATCTGTTTTGCAAATATATTTTAGTTTATACCCATCACAAATGAAAAAAAGTTCACAGAGATAATGTTACAATTGAACAAGGGTTCACCATGATAATGTCGTGTATAATTTGGGTCCCTTTCTATGTGGATCTCTACTGCATACATCTACATTGAAAAAAAATAAAAATAAATAAATTTTTTTTAAAAATGAACCATCACTTATATGGAAATAAACCAGTGAATAACACGTTGAAAACCAACATTTGTGTTAACCTTGATGCTGTGCTTTTTAAATTTCTATTGAAGATTTAACAATTGAGATCAAATTAATTTCAATCCTTAAAGGCTAGTTGGCATCCACTCCCCTGCTCACTTTAGAGGCAGAATTTTTTTTACAATTGCTAAGAGGGAGACAAGATGGTGGTGGTGTGTATTTCTTTTTTTAACTTTAGTTTTCAGTTCTCGCACAAATTTGTTAAATATCGAAGTATTCATAAGATTAAAAATATTATGTGATGGTCCCCTTTTTATCTCTCTCCAGTGTGGTAATAAAGCGATGCCCTTTAGTATTAGTTGGTCTCTTTTCACAGAAAATGGAGCAAACGTTCTTATTCTTTGTTTAACCACTTGCAACATTAGCAAGCTACGCTTATCTTTTATTTACTGTAAGATCTTCATGTTGGGTACCAGGAGGTCTTTACACTTGGTCTTTAAAATGTTATTAGCAGTTTTTTTTTCTCACCAAAAAAATAAATTCTAATATACACCCATTTTATATTATTAGAAGTAGCAGGTTTGCTAAAACACCTCAGCATACAAATAAACAAGGATATGTACTAAAGGGAGAATTGCCGTGAATTCAAAGTGAATTAAAAAATGTAGGCTGATATAGTTAAATTAATCCTGTTTTCAGTTTGTTTATTATGTCCTTAAATTTAAAATTCACTTTGAATTCCTGGCACTTCTAACTTAAAGGACCACTAAAGGCACCAAGACCACTTTAGCTCAATGACGTGGTCTGGGTGCCAGGTCCATCTAGGATTAACCCTGCCTGCTGTAAACATAGCAGGTTCAGATAAACTGCTATGTTTACACTGAGGGTTAATCCAGCCTCTAGTGGCTGTCTCCCTGACAGCCGCTAGAGGCCACTTCCGCGATTTTCACTGTGAAAATGTCAGTGAGAAAACGCTGGACGTCCATAGGAAAGCATTGAGTAATGCTTTCATGTGGGCGGTTTGAATGCGCGCGCGGCTCTTGACGCGCATGCGCATTCAGCGCTGACATCGGCAGGAGGAGGAGAGTTCCCCAACCATGAGGGAGCCCGGCGCTGGAGAAAGGTAAGTGTTTTAACTGGCACTATAGTGGTCCTGCAAGCAAGGATAATTGGTTTCTCGGTTTTATGAGATTTGCAGGATTATTTAATAAATTAGCAATTTATATCTAACCTATAACATCCAAACGGCATGAGAACAAGACCCACATAAAACCTTCTGACAGCAAAGCTAAAATTCCAGAGAACAAAATGGCCCCTTTAAAGTAAATGCTGGGCCATTTCCAAAAGTTTCCGGCGATGTATAGCAGAAACAAGCACATCTATTCATTACATGGGTGAATATGCATGATGAATAGATTCACATGAGTGTCTGCATAGATGCAATTAATAAAGATCACTGCTAATTCTGCAAACAATTTCTAATTTAAGACATTTTCCAATTGACCAAAGAGGTCATAAAACATAGAGTAGAATGGAAATGTGATATGAGAACATGGTGTATTTTCTTTCAACCCAGTGTTATTCCCCCTGGGTTATGTAACTCTAAGGTGACACTGCTCACAGTGTGAGTAATGGCGGGTAAGTCCTGCTGATTGCCTGGAGGACTCATGAATCATAAGGGAAGACAGTCCAGAATTGCTATTTACAGGATATTTCTGTGCAACCTGGGTGGCTTAGCCACTGGGTTCACTTGATCGATTACTGTTTAAATAGAGACCTTGAAAAAAATAATAATATAATCATAACCTGCAATAGCTGTCCATTAACTTTTTCACAGGACAATAATGGATAACATTTGGCTCTTTTGCTATTCTTGGCTACTTCTCACATGATTCCCAGTCACTCAAAGGGAAGAAAACATGAAAAAGTGTGAATATAAAGCGGCTTATCATTTTTTGTTTAGCTGAAAAGTCATCTTTAACATTTTTATGGAGAATCTTTATGAATGCCGAGTTATATTACGGTCACATTTGTATATTTTTGTATTGGTCCTGTAATGATATGATCTCTGACATCTATGAATATGGAGACAATCACAGGGTTAGTGAACAGATAAATTATCTACAGATATAATTCGTGCAGAATCCGAAGTAAATTTGGAGAAATGTAACCTCAATGAGTGTTGCAGACCAAATCAATTTATTCTTAAACTTTTGCACCTTAATGGTTTAAACATAAATTACTATTCCATCACCCTCCAGAATAGTCATGGACAATAATGGACATTGCTAGCAATTCTGATCCATGACACTATAGGAAATATATATTTTTAGAAAGCAACACATTTCAAGGTATTACATTTGGTGGGTGGCATTAAAGCATATTGCTTGTGAATGTATAGATTAAATGTATCTTTTGTCTAGAACAGGCCTGCCCAAACTGTGTCCCCCATCCCCAGTTGTTGCTCAATTACAACTCCCATCATTCTTTCAATGAAACAGATAGCCATGGAATCATTAGAATTGTAGTTCAGCAACACCTGGGGGGTTGTAGGTTGGACAGCCCTGGTCTAGAAGGATGGGGACCATGCAAAGTGGTATCCCTCAAAATCTGTGATAGTTGCATTCTTGATCATTTAAAATTGTAGGATAGGGATTTCAGCATTTGCCAAGCATTTATTTCCATCCAAACAATTTGCTGGTGATCTATCCAGCATAGTGTATCAATAGCTCATATATACTGGATATCAAAGATTACTTATTAACAAACCAACACGTTGAAACTGATGTCACAAATATAGACTTAAATGTCTTCTTGTCCATATTTAGTACACATGCTCAAGCTGTTATTTGCTACTTCCTCTTACTATCTGTGATGCTATCATCATATCTTTTCCCATGTGGAAAAGAAATCTATACTTTGTCTCATATGTATATTTTAATTATTTCAGAATTTCAGTGAAATTCTAAAACAGTCTAGTTATTCTTATAGGTTAATGGAGACATTGCATTGATGAAGTGAATTAAGCTGCTGGATTTTAGATATTTTTCTCCATAGACTAGGTACAAGCATTGGCATTAGAAGTTCTAGTGCTTATTTTCCACTTTATTTAATAAGGGCTGGCCAAAGTACAAGGAGGTAAATTAGATATTTACATTATGTGCCATTTAGTCTGTAACATTCTTGCATAAACTTGGGTGGAATTAAACCTTTCAGTTATATTGATACAGAAGCAACTCTTTCCATGCCCATAGACAAACACCTTTGGTATTCTAGAAAAAGATATAAATTAATATAAATGGTATTCTAAAAAAAAAAAATTAAATGCTATCAGTGTAAGCCAGGCACCCATTCTAGAATTATACAGAAATTAGCAAGTGAATTATAAACATTAGGCCAAATAAACTGTGATGGGATTTCAGCTTGGCCCAAAATTCTGTAGGCCTAAAATCTCCGTGTGACATATATAAGTATAGGTATCTGTTGTATCTGTTAGTTAGTTACATGTAGCTAAGATACTGTCATCAATGTACTGAGCATGTGCAAGAACTGAAACCACATTCCATTCTCTTAAAAAGGCCATGTTGCCTGTCCATATAAGGTGATCCTGTATATTATAGGCGTGCGCAGCCTATTGCATTAGGGTGTGCACCCTAAAGCACAAGCACACGCCGCGTATATGTATGTATGTATGTATATATATATATACATATATATATATACACGCACACACATACACTGCTGTGTGTGTGTGTGTGTGCTGTGTGAGGGTGCTGGTAGTGTGCTCTGTGGGTGAGGGTGTTTGTGTGTGTGTGTGCGCTTGTGAGGGTGCTGTTAATGTACTGTGTGTGAGGTTGCTGTTTGTTTGTGAGGGTACTGGTAGTGTGCTGTGTGTGTGTTTGTTAGGGATCTGTTAGTGTGCTGTGCGAGGGTGCTGTTTGTGTTTGTGAGGGTACTGTTAGTGTGCTGTGTGTGTGTGAGGGTGCTGTTTGTGTGCTGTGTGTGTTTGTAAGGGTGCTGTATGTGTGTGGGTGCTGTGTGTGTGTGGGTGTGGGTGCTGTGTGTGTGGGTGCTGTGTGTGTGTGGTTGATGTGTGTTCTGTTTGTGTGCTGTATGTGTGAGGATGCTGTGTGTGTGCTGTATGTGTGTGGGTGCTGTGTGTGTGTGCTGTATGTGTGTGTGTGCTGTTTGTGTGCTGTATGTGTGTGTGCTGTTTGTGTGCTGTATGTGTGTGTGTGCTGTATGTGTGTGTGTGTGCTGTATGTGTGCTGTATGTGTGTGTGCTCTGTATGTATGTGTGCTGTATGTGTGTGTGCTGTATGTGTGTGTGTGTGCTGTATGTGTGTGTGCTGTTTGTGTGCTGTATGTGTGTGTGTGCTGTGTGTGTGCTGTATGTGTGTGTGCTGTTTGTGTGCTGTATGTGTGTGTGCTGTGTGTGTGCTGTATGTGTGTGTGCTGTATGTGTGTGTGCTGTGTGTGTGCTGTATGTGTGTGTGTGCTGTTTGGGTGATTTGTGGGGGTGGAGGTGGGGGCAGATAAGTTAATAAATATCCCCCTTCCCTGCTTACCTTATGTAGGGAGGGGGGACCGTGCTGCTGCCTTCCCTGGTGGTCCAGTGGAGGTGGGGACAGATTACTTAATATCTCCCCTCCCTTGTTACCTTATGCCAGGGAGGGGGTATCCTTTCTGCCTTCCCTGGTGGTCCTAGTGGTGAGAGTGAACTCTAGCCTGCGGGGCCAGAGTTCACTCTTGCGAGATCTGAGCATTGCCGCAGTAACCGCGGCAACGCTCAGATCTCGCGAAAGGAACCCTGGCGGAGCTGCTGGCAATAGCTCCCCGGGTCCTCTCCTGCCTCCCTCCCTGCATGTGGGTCGGTGGGAAGGGAGGCTGAGAGCAGAGCCGGCGCTTGGATAGCGCCGGCTCTGCATGAGCCGACAGGGGAGATCCTTAGATTTCCCCTGCCGGTCTCAATACATAGGCGTGCCGCGGGGATTAGGGTGTGCCCAGTGCGAATGCCTATGCTGTATATCCTGTTTTTTGATTGGTGTAAGGGTACAGATGGGGGATGTTTAGCTTATAAAAAGCCTCTACCCATGTGCTCAGGGCTCAGACATTTTGAACAGGAGTTCGGCTGAGACTCAATCAGTGAGAATAAAGACCTTTACTTCCTGAACTGACCTGTGTCCGGACTCTCTGTGCGTGGCTTCTTCAGCGTTACCCTGTAACAAAACTAACTTGAAAAAAAATGAATAGTAATAAGTCCTAATTGGAACCCTCAAAAATCTCTTGTACAAGGAAGCAGAGGTTCAAAAAATACATTTTACTTCTTTCAACATTTAGCAAGCAGGGGTATTGTTAAATGGCAAGAACACCAGTGGCTTCAGTCCAAGAGTAACGAATATGGGCCCCTTTCACCATATATTTGTTTGTTATTTAAATATGAAATTGTAGCTTTTATTTCAGTTTGTTATTTTGAAAGACAGATAACATACAGACAGATTTTCATGAAACGGAAGAACAAACAAATGGTAATAAAATCAAACCATTTGGGGCTACCACCAACCCATCTGAGTCTCTGAGCCAGAGACTAACCCCCTCTAGAAATGTACCAGGGTGCAAGCACATAACAAATGTATGGTGCATTTTCACACACTCATTTTTAAAACACATTAATATATAGAAAAATATAAATAAAATCAGCATTTAGAATATATGCCCCTAATAAATATATGCATGCATTTAATTATGCATTTTGTTTTCATTGTGGGTATATATAAAAACAGCTTGCAAAAGCTGCAGATCTCTTGTCTGAAGCCTTCGCTAGCCCTCCCATTCTATCCCCACCCAGACTTCCTGTGGCTGTCCAATCACAGACTTCCCAATGCAGCTCAAGGAGAAGTCTTTGCAAGGCAGGTGCTCTGGGAAATTGCTGTCTGTTGAGTTTAGCTCCACTGAGCTAAACAAACCAGGAAGTAACAGGACTGGTTCTCTGATTAACAGTCAGTGGGTGTAATAATGGTAATTTTTAAAAGTGCTAATTTCGATTAAAATCTACACTTTTTGTAAAATAAAAAAGGGGACACACCAAGCACTTCAGCAAGCTAAAATGTTTTATGGGTCTGCAGTGTCCCTCAAGCTCGAGTCATTAATATAAAAACATGCAGAGATACATTAATAGGGGGAAAGATTTGCTGCTTGGGATATATTTTTGAAATCTTTGTAATCTCTTTATTTATTAGTGCGTGAAAACATAACTGTGTTAATGAGTAAAATAATGAAAATATAATGAGTATACCTTTCGATACTTGTAAATAAGGTCAAATTTAAGAGGATTTTAACCGTCAATATTTTAAAAGCTGACCCCATTTCAGATTGCTCCCAAGCTATTCTACAAACACCACAGACTACTCTAAAATGGATTAGGGCTTTTCAATGCCGGCGCATATGATCAGTTTATAAATAACTCAGACAGCGACATAAAAAGCTTATCCCTATGTTGACAAAATATGTGCTGCAATTTAAAGATCTAGATTTAAAGTCCAGCTGAGTGTGACAATATTATTTATGCTTAATTCAGTGATTTTAAATCCCTATTTGTATTTAGCAAAACAACTCAGAATATTAATTGACTTCTGGAGACTACAGATGGGCTAGCTAGAATGAGAAAATAAAAGGAAAATATAATAAAATATTGTAATAAAACAGTCTAAAAAAGTAGTATAAAATTGCTGCATGACTAGCACAATCAGTTGCAAAGCAGTATCTATAAATATTGTTATTCAATATTCCAATTCCAAATGCACTCAGCAGTCTTTGCAATATTAACTGTGAGCAGAGCATTCTGGGATACCTAATATGACAAAGGCATGCATGCAACATTGGTTGCGTCTAACTTTCAACCAGTGGAGGAAACTGAATAAGGGGTTATAACTTGATTTTCTAAACATTGTCCAGTTGAATTGCACAATATACAATTTTTGGCAGATTAAAATGGTTTATTTTTCGATATCTATGTTTTGTTATTGTGCTTAACTATTCTAGAGACTGACTTTAACCCTTTAAGGACACAACTTCTGGAATAAAAGGGAATCATGACGGAATATTTCCGTCATGTGTCCTTAACCCCTTGAGGACACACGACATGTGTGACATATCATGATTCCCTTTTATTCCAGAAGTTTGGTCCTTAAGGGGTTAAGGGGTTAACCAGTCCCTGGGGTGTAATGTCATTGGGTGTTACTTACAAGCTGAGGGTAATGGGAGATGTAGTTAAGAATCCAGCCTGCTTTCATTATCTAAGGCAGGAGTCTCCTCTATTGTTACACGGCATTTCTCAGTATTCTCAGTCACTTTTTGTACGTGTTAGGATGTCCAAAATCGCCCACTGGCGGGCCCCATTTTTATATAACTCGAATTATGTTAACCTTAACAAAAGTTGACAATTGGTGGAGTTTAAGTCAAGATCCAATGCCTTTATAAACTTTGCCATTGGCTGCCTTGTCCTTTACTGACCTCCCTCCAGCTTTGCATGACTTTCGGGAGCAGTGCACCATGGATCTTTTGTGTTGACTCTCGTGCCACCATAAGAGTCAGCACAGGTCTGTTGGTATACTAGGCATTTCACACACTCCCTACGAAGGGCAGAAAAGACATCCCAGACAGTCCCCTTTCTGCAAATTAGGTCCCCGCGGGCCATTTGATCGATCTAAAAGAGCGATCACATGGCCGCAATAGGCGTCCATAGTGCTGCATGCAGGGGGACTGTCTAAACTGTCAGGCAGTCTCCTTGCATCTGTAAAATAAAATAAAAAATTGTTAATAAATTTTTTATATATATAGATTTATATTAATATAAAAAATACACTTAGAATTAAATATATATTTATAATAACTATATATATATATATATATATATTGTATATATATTATAAAATATACATAAGTAAATTAAAAAAAACATATATGTTATTTTATTCTAACTGTATTTTTGATAATCTATATATATTTATATTAAAATACATTTAGAATGAAATTATATATATATATATGTATAAATAAATAAAGATAATATGAAATATATATATATTCATATACATAATTACATAAGTAATTTCATAAATATACACCAAGACTTCAAATATATATAAATATATATATATATACATATATATATATATAAATTCTACATGCATATTTAGTTAATATTTTTTACATAATTAAGTAATTTTATTGATTGGAATTTGAGGGACCTGCCTGACAACCGAGGCCGAAAGTCCAGAGTATTTCATTTGCTAGCACTGTATTTCACCTTGTAACTTTCCATGACACTCTAAAACCTGTACACATGGGGCGTACTCGGGACACAAATATTAGTGTTTCAATACCATGAAACATATCACAGCGATGATATTGTCAGTGAAAGTAAAGTTTTTTGCATTTTTCACACAAAGGGCACTTTCACTGATGGTATCATTGTTGTGATATGTTTTACTATTTTGAAACACTAATATTTGTGTTCAGCGAAATCTTCCAAGTATAACAGTTACCCCCATGTACAGGTTTTATAGAGTTTTGAAAGTTACGGGGTCAAATATAAGGCTTGATTCTCAGTTTTTTCACAAGGAAATTTGCCAGATTGGTTATGTTGCCTTTGGCGTATGGTAGGCCAGGACTAAGAATTACCCCCACGATGGCATACCATTTGCAAAAAAAGACAACCCAAGGTATTGCAAATGTGATATGTGATATGTTCAGTCTTTTTTAGTAGACACTTAGTCACAAACACTGGCCAAAGTTAGCGCTCATAATTGTTTTTTGCATTTTTAACTCACAAACAAATATAAATGCTAACTTTGGCCAGTGTATGTGACTAGGTTACTAAAAAAGACTTGACCTTCCCCATATTGAATACCCTGGGTTGTCTACTTTAAAAAAATATGTACATGTGAGGTGTGATTCAGAGATTTATGACAGATAACAGTGTTACAATGTCACTATTGATAAATTTTAAAAATATATATTTTGAAATAGCAATGTCCTACTTGTATTTATAGCCCTATAACTTGCAAAGAAAAGCTAAGAACATGTTGACATTGGGTATTTCTAAACTCAGGGCAAAATTTGAAACTATTTTGCACGGGTGTTTTTTGTCAGTTGTGGGGATCAAATTAGAAAGAGTGTTTTGTTAAAAAAAAATTTCATCATATTTTATAATTTTTTTATAGTAAATTATATATGATATGATGAAAATAATGGTATCTTTAGAAAGGCCAGTTAATGACGAGAAAAACTGTATATAATTGTGTGTACAGTAAATGAGTAAGAGGAAAATTACAGCTAAACACAAACTGCAGAAATGAAAAAACAGTCCAGGTTCATAACGGTAAGAAAATTGAAAAACAGTCTGGACACTAAGGGGTTAATTTATAAAAGTCATTGGATATTTAGTAATGGACATTCTTATTGAGTTCAATTCTTGCACAACCTGGGCATACATTGATATAGAGGAGGAGAAACATTTACCATGTACAATGACAGAGCTTATAACAACGATTGACAGTGAGCCAAAATAGAGGTACTCCATTCCGGGAGAGAAGACTGTAGATATTTTTATTTAAATTTTTTTTCGGCTCTCGCAGATACATATTTATTAATTAAAGGGGATACATTCTCTTGTCACAGATTGGCTATAAATCTAACATTTTGCAGCTTTGTTTATAATTCATCCCAAATTGGTGCTTGATGAATATGCTGTGAAGTGGCAGTTCCCTTTAATTTCTTAAAATTTTATGACAACAGGCAGAAATTAGAGGGGGTGGGGTGGGGGGGCTGTATTCACTGAACCCACAGAACTCTGTGATTGGATTGCTGGAATGCCAATTTAATTAAAACCACAATGCATCTACCAAAGTTAATAAACAGTATTATTAATCAACACATTGGTGTTAATTAATCAAATGTTCTTAATTATCCCATGTGGGGTATACGGGAAGTCTTCTATTATTTCGTCCATGGAAATGTTTCTTTTCACAATATAATAGTTTAGACTTTTTGATGAATGGGTTCTACTCAATAAATTATAAATGTAGTTAAATAAAAAGATTGCTTTCCTAATAATTTTCTACTTAAAATGTAAATGTTACACTATATTTCATCAAACCATACCTTTGTTAAATTAATTAAAACATTTTATAAAAGATTTTATAAAAAGAACAAATTTAGCAAAATTATAATTATGAGACTCTGATGCAAATTATTGCAAATAAAATAATTATTCATTAATATGTACTCGAGTACTTTAATATCCATTAGAAAGCGATAGGAACATTTTTATTATTTACGAGTACAATTGCTAAGCAGTAACAGGTTTATAAAAGGTAATTCAATGTGAATTTAAAATTTCAGGACAAAATAGTCTAAACATGCATCAACACATTGACCTAAAGAGTAGCATTCATTTTGAATACTCCCAAAATAGTGCTTAAATAGACAATCCTGTCTGTTATGATGAGTCAATAAATTTTATAAAATAGTGGCGTTTGAGATGGCGATTTTTCCAACAAGCTATTTTAGATAATATTTTGCGAGTTTTCAGTTCATCGTAAGCAGACACCCCAACAAGGGAGGAGAGGGGAGTGCACTAAATGTTAAACTAGACCGGGCATAGGTAACCTTCAGCACTCCAGATGTTTTGGACTACACCTCCCATGATGCTTTGCCAGCATTATGGGGGATGTAATCCACAACATCTGCAGTGCCGAAGGTTACCTATCCCTGAACTAGACAGTCGGAATTTCATGACTTGCAGAACGTAAAATAATATCAAAGTGGAAAAACACCAAGAAAACCGCTTGTTGTAGAAACTCATGGTTTTGTTAACACATTCTGTTGCCTATCCTTTTAAAACTGATGGGAGTTTGTGGTGGTAATAAGGATACAGTTCTAGGGGTTACTGTAGATATCAATCAGCAAATCAATACTTGTCTGAACCTTTAACATCAGATACATAGAAGATGGTATGGATAACATTGGCCCAAGACATTAAACATTAATACTAAATCACAGGAATTAAATTCAGTTTTACAAAGATTGTTCATATGTGTAAGTATCTGTGTGGTGGGACTGTGGCTGGCTTTTAACATGTTGCTGATTCCATTAGTCTCTGCAATGTCGAATGACTGAGAACTAACAGGCTGCAAAGCCATTACAAAACAAAACATCTGATAAATAGCCGTGTTACAAGCTAGACAGTATCATAACAAATCCAATGCCTGTATCATGATTTAGTGCACAATGTTTTGATGGATTAGAAGCTCTGCATATATGCCAATGTACTGGGAGATATATATATATATATATATAGAGAGAGAGAGAGAGAGAGAGATGTAAAGAAATTTCTAGTATACACTTTTTTCATATTTTTGTTTAAATATTACTAGTTTTAAAATCTAAAGTGATAACTAAATTGTGGGATGGAATGTTTTTTTAGTAGAGATTTTATATGTGTATATTTAGAGTAGAGACCATAACAACCACAACATAGATGCATATTCCTACTTAAAGGAATACTATAGGGTCAGGAACACAAACATGTATTCCTGACCTATAGTGTTAAAAACACTATCTCCTAAATATAGTAAAATCTTTCCTTTATTCCAGTCTGCTGGACGTGGCTCTGCCCCTGATCTGCCTCCTTGGCTGACTTAATCAGAAGTGATGATCTCAGCCAATCACAAAGTTTTTTGATGATCTTAGCCAAATGCAAGCCCGGCCACTCAGAATCTCCTCATAGAGATGCAGTGAATCAATGCATCTCTATGAGGAAAGTTTAATGTCTCCATGCAGAGGGTGGTGACACTGGATGTGACAGCATTGCCCCAGAAAGACCCTCTAGTGGCAGTCTGAGGAGTGGCCACTGAAGATGTCCCAAGGCTGTAATGTAAACACTGACTTTTCTCTAAAAAGAGAGTGTTTACAGCAAAAAACCTGAAGGGACTAACTATATTCACCAGAACAACTACATAAAGCTGTAGTTCTGCTGACTATAGCGTCCCTTTTATATACAAGTATTTCTTTGATATTGTAACAATAAAAGCATTTCTTTAATATTTTTAATTAAGAGACCTTATATACATCCACTAAAATAAAGTTTTACTAGCCTTCCACTACTTAGCCCTACCTATTTTGTTTTAATAAGTCAAGAGAGTAAATCTGGAGTACTCATTAGTAACTACCTGTGAATTAATCTTGACCTTCTGCTGCACAATGTCTACTGGTTGGTCATATGATCAATGCGGCAACATTTCACTCTAAAATGGCTACTGATTATTCATATGTTTACTGTGAGGACTTTTTAGTATATAGGGGATATTGGCTGATCAATGCAGACGCTTTCCATTTTAAAATGGCTACCTCTTGGCCATACAGCTAGCTATAATCAGACTATGTTTACATGGCACACGATGACAAAAAAGGAAATGGATTCTTAATTTTGGGTCCCTTATGTTCTGTGTGAACCATCCCCAATTTCTTGTTTGTTTTATGGACACCTCCTTAGACTAATGCTAGCATTTTCTGCCACACTGGTTGCTTCAAGTATACAGCATATTCACACAGAGATGCATATGAACATTCCCCCTTAGGGAGCTGTCCAGCACTTTATAATTAAATATACGTATATGTGTTAAGGCGCATTATGCTATATATAACATAGGGAACACATATATTTTTACATTTCTACATGTCAAACGATTTTTTTCTTTCTTTCTGCGCTTCCTTTTTCATTCTGGATCTATTAAGTCCCAGAGGCAGATTAAAATGGTTGTTTAGTATTTCCATGGAAACCAAAGGCAAGCACAGTATCAGTGTGTCTGTTATCTTATAGGAAATGACAATTATTCGTGTATATTTGGATGAATCTAAGGTATTCTAAACTGAATATGATTGAAGATGACACATCAATATCCAAGTAAAATGTAAGCATGTCTATGAATATATTGTGCCAAATATTTATAATACAGATATGTCCATTTGTTTTACACTGGTAATCTGGAAAATCCACATGAGTTTTGGATGGCAGGTTCACTATAACCATTTCTTCTTTTTTTATCTTTTTTTTGGGGGTGATGATGGGGCTTATTTAGCCCTCCTATTGCTGTATATAATGTGACTTTCAGGGCAGCAGCACCTGGTGGCCAGGGATCACTTCTTGATAGATAATTTCAAGGTCAAATGTTTAAACCACACTGGTACTGGTTAAACAGGCACGAATAAAAAACAGGGTTATTTATTAAACTGAGAATGCAAAATGGATTTAAAATTTAAGACCAAAGTAGCCGATCTTGAAGAATATCTGACTTAGAGAATGTATTTGGTTTGGCTATTTTAGGCCTTAAATTTAAAATTCATTTTGAATTCTCACTTTAGTAAATAACCCTAATAAAATTGTTCTTTATCAATAAATCCTAAAGGATTTTTCCCTTAAGAACAGAATGGAATGAGAGTTATATTTTTCAGTGCATTGATCTGTCCTAAGGGACTTGGAATCCATAGCTGTCCTGCACTGATCTGTGAATTCAGAGCTCATTAAATCAAGGGGTACATAAAATGTTTGAGGCTGTTAAATTTTAGATGACACTCCTGTACCTGAACATTAACGGTATAAAACTTCAGAATAAAAAACTCACAGAACAAAAGAAATTAACAAATCACCACAAAAAATTTACACTATGCAGGTATTATTCAAAAATAATATTATTGTGGACAAAATCCGTAGGGAAGGTGAGGGGGGAGGAGCGTTTACGGGGTTACTTGCCGAGTTTTTGAACAACTTTATAACCTTTTTTTATTTTATTTTTTTACATGTCACATCACATTTCTATATTTCAAAAAAAATAATTATGCAAACTATATTCACACATTTTACTTTATTATTTAATCAATTTTCTTGCTCACTAATAACTAGGCAAGTATAGTGGAGAGGGAGAAAAAAGTGGTCCAGCATTATTGTGTGCTGGGGGATTCTGAAAGTTGTTCCGTTTTTAGCTTTACACTTTTGCAAGCACTTGGCTGAACTACACCTCACAAAAATCTCAGCCGTGTTGCCTGTTATATACTTTACTAAAGGAGAAAGGCAAACACTGCACGCTAGGATAGAATGGATTTATGGCATAGTCTTAAATTAGAGGGGCAAAGGTTTAAAAATAATATCAGGAAGTATTATTTTACTGAGAGGGTAGTGGATGCATGGAATAGCCTTCCAGCTGAAGTGGTAGAGGTTAACACAGTAAAGGAGTTTAAGCATGCGTGGGATAGGCATAAGGCTATCCTAACTATAAGATAAGGCCATGGACTAATCAAAGTCTTTAGAAAATTGGGCAGACTAGATGGGCCGAATGGTTCTTATCTGCCGTCACATTCTATGTTTCTATTTATCATGAAACAATAACTGAGAATAAGCAGCTATCTATCCAAGACTACCACAAGATAAATTATTGTCATGCCAGGTCATCTGCCCAGCGCTCTTATTAATATCTGGGTGCAGACCCAGAGGGAGCAAAAACACTGAGTATTAGACCAGATGCTTCGTGTACTAGATAAACAGCGATCATGGCTCCCTTCTTGCCAGATAGGAAACAGGACATATGATGATGAATCTTTAAAATTTCTCTTTAACATAGACAGCCTCTTCACACACATCTCTTAATGACACATACAAAGAGTTTTTTTTTTTTTACTAATTAGTGAGTTTAACATTTTTGTCTAAAATTACCAAAGTGGACATAGGGGAGCTGAAAATATTAAATTTTCCTGGTCAGTTAACATTAAATGAACACTCAAATGTTAGGAATTCAAACATGTTCCTTGGGCTAGAGCGTTATACTAGCTATTTAGATTATTGGGCCTCCCTTAATTAAGCAAATGAAAGAGTTGTATTTACTATTTCCCCTGGTGTGCCAGTCTAGCCATGGCCATTCCGCCTCCATTGGATGAGATCATCGATCCTGATTATCTCAGCCTATCCAGTGCTTCCCCATATGGAAGCATTGGGAGGCTAGTTCGCATGCAAATGCCGTGCTGCACTAATCAGCATCTCCTCATAGAGATGCATTGACTACCTGCATCTGTACGGGGAGCGTTCAGCATCTTCATGTAAAGTGTTTACACATCTCAGGTTGTAGGGACGGACTCTTTGACCCTGAAATACTACATTAAGCTGCAATGGTTCTGCTGCCTGTAGTGCCCCATTCATTAACAGTTTACGGAATAGGCCTGATAACAGCGATACATCAAAAAGACTAACAAAGAGACAGTAGAAAATGCCAGTGTACTTATAATAATAATTTTTTTTAACCCCTTAAGGACACATGACATGTGTGACATGTCATGATTACCTTTTATTCCAGAAGTTTGGTCCTTAAGGGGTTAAAAAACAGATTGAGAGGGAAATGAGACAATCGTGTCAAAGAAAAACTGCAGTGTTACATTGGGATTGAACAAATCTAGAAAAATAGGAAGACAGTCAGAAGAATAAAGAATAAGCGAAGCCAATTGGAAAAACAGACCACAAACAAAGTACATATTGGCTATATGAATGGGGTGGTAAAATTCTAGAGCACCTACTTATTGTATTATAGCACAGTTTCTTAAATGATCAGATTTGTACAAGTGAATTATGTTATACTTGGATTTAATTAACCTGTACCGACTACCCCCTAAGGCTTGTTAACTGCAAAAAAAAAAAAACATTCCCCTTGACACAAGGAAAGCTCCACTGTACCTTTCAAATTACTGACTGTTCATAGACTGGATACAATTAAATGACTTGTTATATGAGCAGCCAACATTGGCCTCAATTTAATACGCTTTCCAAATTATTCAATACTTACCAAATTACTTAATCTACAGAAGTCACCATTAGGGTTTAAGGGAATTTTTGTAGGCAAATTATTTGGAATGTGGTTCTAAAAGTATTGCATCATTTTTATTTTTGAAAGCTTATTAAATCGAGACCATAGAGTGTTCACATGTATTCTTGATCTAGATGTTTCGCTATTAGATGGGGCTGATCAATACATTGATTTGGAACGTTATCTTGTTATCTATACTTGTTTTCTGTAAGGTTTTGGAAAATACAGCAATGTGTACGATAGGAAGATAAGGAAAAGAAATTCATAAAATGTGGCTGTAAAAGAACTTAAAGACAATAAAGTACATGCCAAGCCAAGCCCAAAACACAGACAGACTCATTAAAAATTATGACATTTTATCTACTTTTATATGCGTACAGAAACATAAAAATGTTCAAAAAATCTTTTTCAACGATAAATTAGACCTTTTAGTAGTTTATTCACCAAATGGTGACTTACAGTAAACTTAAATGCAATATGTAGGCCAAAATAAATGATTTAGCGGATACTGCTTAGGACATAGCGTAGCTATTTAGCTATTCAGTGTTCATTCTTTACACATGTACATTAAACTCCTGTAAGATCTTTCAGGAAATATAAGCCCTCACAAGAAATTAGCCTCCAGAAAGATCTTGCATTAAATATTTGTCTCTATGAAAAAAGTGCATTCATTTCCTTCCCAGTAAATACTTTTTTATGTCAATGATTTATAAGTGATACGCTTAAAGGAACACTTCGGTCTCCATAATAACTTATATAAATTAAGTTGTTTGGTGCCAGGAGGCCCCCGGGTGCTCTCTTACCTTAAGGGGTTAATCGGCTCTTAAACTGTTTAATCCCAAAGGCTGCCTCCAGCACAGATCTCCAAGTCCCCCAGGTAACATCCGGCTACGAGTACATAGTGCCAGTAGGTATGGACACCGCTAACTGGCTGTAGCGGTCAGCTGATGGTCTAAGGCTAAGCCAATCAGTAGCTGCTCGTTCATGTGATTCGGAAGCTACTTATTGGCTTAGATTGGCTCATCAGTGGCGCCACACTCCGAGCTTCCTGTTTCAGAAGCCGAATACCATCTGGGGGACTTGGAGATCGTTGATGAATGTAGCATTTGCTGTTAAAATGTTAAAGAACGGTTTAACCCCTTAAGGTAAGAGAGCACACAAGGGCCTCCTGATGCCATAATAATGTCATTTAAATTGAGTTGTTATGGTGACCAGCGTGTTTCTTTAAGCTACTGAGCATATTTCTTTAAAAAGAAAAAAAAAATCCTATTCCTTATAATTTTGCTTTATCAGCGTTTTACTTAATACATTCATTAACAGAAATTCTTGAAAATAGAGATGTTTAGATGATTTTGCAGCAGTTGTACACCATGACATTTAACACGTAGAAACAAATTCAATCTGTAAGGAACAGAACTCCCAAATGACTGCTCAACGATATTTATATTTTTCTTGAATTGTAATAAAAGCAATGGCAAAGTAAATTGCCATCCACCGATAATATTAATAAGTATGCGAATATATGGTGAGATGTTTTAGCAAGCTGTACCTTAAATCCTTAATAGAGCACTAAGTACCTTATTATTATTATGATATTTATAGAGCACCGTCAAATTCCGCAGCGCTTTACAATGGGTGGAAGAACAGACATGTAGTTGTAACCAGACAAGTTGGACACACAGGAACAGAGGGGTTGAGGGCCCTGCTCAATGAGCTTACATTCTAGAGGGAGTGGGGTAAAATGACACAAAAAGGTAAGGATAGTATTAGACTAGTGACAGTTGCAGAAGAGGAGTCAGTCAGGAGCTATTAACAGTTTAATTGATACGCTTTTATGAAGAAGTGGGTTTTTAAAGATTTTTTGAAGGAGTGGAGACTGGGTGAGCATTTAACGGAGGAGGGAAGCGAATTCCACAGGAATGGTGCAGCCCTGGAAAAGTCTTGAAGGCGAGCATCAGAGGTGGGAGTACGGACAGAAGATAGACGTAAGTCTTCAGCAGATCGTAAGGGCCTAGACGGGACATACTTGTGTATAAGGGAGGATAGATAGGTGGGAGCAGCATTATGTAGAGATTTGAAAGCAAGAACCAGAATTTTAAATTGAGCTCTATATTTTATAGGAAGCCAATGTAGGGACTGACAGAAGTGTGAGGCATGGGAGGTGCGGGCAGACAGGAAGATGAGCCTCGCCGCCGCATTCATTATGGACTGTAACGGCGCAAGTTGGGAGCACGTAAGACCACTGAGAAGCGGATTACAGTAGTCAAGGCGAGAGAGGACAGTGGAATGGACCAACACCTAAGTCGCATCTGGCGTTAAGTAGGGGCGGATGCGTGCAATGTTTTTGAGATGGAAATGACAGGATTTGGCAATAGATTGAACATGAGGCTTGAAGGAGAGGTCGGAGTCAAAGAGAACACCTAGGCAGGGAGCCTGCGTGGTGGAGCTGATGATAGCACCGTTGACTTGGAGGGAGGGAGACACAGGAGTAACAACACTTGAGGGAGGAAAGATCAGAATTTCAGTTTTGGTCAAGTTTAGTTTAAGGAAGTGGGCAGCCATCCAGTTAGAAACAGCAGAGAGGCAGTCAGAGGCACTAGTCAAGAGGGACGGGGAGAGATCAGTAGAGGACAGGTAGATTTGCGTGTCATCTGCATAGAAATGATATTGGAAGCCAAAGAAGCTAATGAGTTTACCAAGGGAGGTAGTATAGATGGAGAACAGGAGGGGACCAAGGGCTGAACCTTGGGGGACACCAACAGAGAGGAGTTGGGGAGAAGAACAGAGCCAGAGAAAGAAACACTGAAAGAGCGCTGGGAGGAGCACCAGGAGAGAGCAATATCTTGTAGACCGATATTGCGGAGGATGAGAAGAAGCTGTTGATGATCAACAGTGTCAAAAGCCGAAGACAGGTCAAGGAGAATTAGGATAGAGTAGTGACCACGAGATTTTGCAGCGAGTAGATCATTAGATACTTTGGTCAGTGCCGTTTCCACAGAGTGCTTAGCGCGGAAACCAGATTGAAGCGGGTCTAGCAGAGAGTTGGACTCGAGGAAGTCTGTCAATCTCGCATACACAATTTTTTCAAGGATCTTGGATGCAAAAGGCAGTAGCGAGATAGGACGATAGTTGGAAAAATCCTAAACCATGGTGCAGTGGTTTTGGTGCCAGCATGCACTTAGTGTCATTCCACAGCTCTACATCAAGCTGTTTTCAAGTGGTCTGACCCAAACCGAAGCTCTATCAGGCACCCACAGCTGACCCCTCACTCACCATACTACCACCACATTCACAGTATCAATTTCATCCACATTTTGATTGCTTTGGCTTATCTGGCTACAGTGTAGCTTCCTCAATAGATCCATTGACCTAGCAAGAGTCTAGACCAATAAAGCCAGTTTGGCAGAGAAACAGGACATGACGGCACCATGACCACTGTATTACAGTGCAAATTAAAATGTAGCAACATTTAATTTAACATTGAAGAAAACAAGAGCAACAATTGCACCATGCAAAACCAAATTTAAAAAAATTAGGTCACGATTATAGAGTTAGAAATATAAATAAGAAGAGAACTTTTTGTGACTCCGACATGTTGACTAAAATGTGTAACTCGTTTTTTTATTCAGCATAATGAACAGTTTAATACCTATTGGGAGAACTAAACAGTTAAAAAATTTAACCAAACAGCTGGTTCTGTAAATATACATATGTTAATTATATGCCTCTTATATACATGAACATAAAACAAGTGTGATTTCCACCAGAAAGAAATTATGTTCAAATAAATTACTACAATCATAAATGTGTCCAAGGATGCGGTAAATTCCTGGGACTGTGTTCTATGACCAGAGATAAGTTCATATCTACTCACTGAACCGCAATTTTCCTACAGGCTTCAATGATACAACTGGCTTTCAGTTGCCAGAGTAGAACTTGTCCTAGATTATAGAATCCAGCCCATCGTCCAGAATATTAGCCCTGTCCCTCTCAAACAGGTGTGTGCATCGCAGATAGTGGGGGTAGTTGTAAAAAGTCAATCCATTGAGCAGGGCATACAATTTGTAGCCCTATGCTACTAGCCTCGCCTTAAAAGTTACTCGCCACTACAAGACATCGTATACCCCAGAGGGGTGAATTCTTACTAGCCAGGGCTAAATTTTCACTCGCCAATGTTAGTGGCGTTCGAAATTTCAAGCTCTGCTTTAAGTCATTCTCCGTTATCTATTTTCTGACTGATTGACTAATTTATCCAATTGCATCTATTTATATGTGCAGTAAGTCTAAAAAAAACCAACGTCCGCTTTATTTTTTTGCGGACATCTTAATTTGCAATGCCTGCAATCCAACTTTTCGCACCATCATGGGCAACTGTTAATTACACAGTGTGCTTCCCACAATTCAACAGAGCATAGCAAGTCCCGGCCTCAAGGAAAGCTTAGTAGCTGGCTTAGTATATCACAACAGCCTCTTTACACAATCACAAAGGCCCGATGACATGGTTAACAAAACACAGATAAAGCACAGTGAAATTCATATACAGCGCTTATATTTTCTAATACGGAAGATCAAGGTCATTAAATTCCAGCTTGGATATTTGGTCCCATTTTGCAGCTTCGAGCTGCTTAATGCAGAAAATATATCTCTTTTTTTTGCCTTCATTTAAGATAAAAAGTTTTAAAGGAAGTGCAAGTTAAAATAGTGACAGCATATTCACCTGTTGTGCTATCACATGAGGTATTTAACCCCTTTGCTGTCAACAATTAGATAGATATACAAAGCCTTAGGCTCCTTTTGGTAGAAAATTAATTAAGTCCTATACAACAGACTATATATGCTATTAAACACTACTGGCATAGAAAGGGTAGATATTATATAATACATCATATTGCGCCATATCCTTTCATTCCATGTTTCCAATTACCACCTCGGAAATGAGTCATACTGCACAGGTGCATCTTAATCCCTTGTGAGATCCAAATTATGTATTTATTATCACCTGGGTCTCAGGCCATATTCATCTCCTCATCAGAGACTTGAAAAAAAAAAACTGAACTTATGCACATTACTCAAGAATATTTTTCAGGAGAACTACGTGTATTCCATTACAACACAGCAGATATTATTTCTAGAACTGTAATGACTGAGGGATTTCGTCAGCCAAGGATCAACTCTCACAGTTGTCGTAACTTAGCTTTGTTAAACAATTCCTCAGTCATTCCTGAAAATAGGTTTGGGATAGAATACAGAAATTTTTTATACCCTTCAAGAAAAATCTGAATTTTTATTCTATAAAGATACCGAGTTTTGACCTCTAAATAACATCTACAATGCCAAGTGCAACGCTTAGATATAACATACAATTAACCGAACCTATTTAAAATGTGATCTGCTTCGCAGTAAAAAACAAAAATCAGAAATGGAAAAGCTATAAAAAGGCATTTAAAGTTATAAAATAAATGATTAAGTCAAGATTGATATTTTCATTTTTTTTTTTTAAATAAATCGCATCCTTTCTTTTTTCTAAAAAAAGAAAATAACATATGGGGAACAATCCAGCATTTTTGTGCTAATCTGACTTTGGCATTGTGATAGAAAGTAATAGATTAGTAAAAATAAATATTGATATAACATAAAATGCAATTACTTTACAGGAAAAAAAAAACAATCATTAAAACACAAAAATATATTGAAACATATTTACATTATATTTTAACACTTACTTTATGCTTCTAAGAGGGACTGGATAATTGTCCAGTCTCCGAGTAATAATTTATTGCGACATTTATTTAATAAATATGATGGAATTCCATTGCAAACTGACATTACCATTTTCAAAACCAAATAACCTGAGAAAATGACACATCAAAACAATTTTATGACAATATTAGCTCTTTCAGAATTCTGGATTGCTATTTACATTTAAATATATTGATTTCCATTTATGAAATGGACGGATTGGTTGTTTTTTTTTGTTAGCTTACGTTAAAGTGTGTTCGGGTTTTTAAAACTCCAGAATATTGGGTTATAAACCAAAAAACGAAACCACTTGGACTGATAAATTGAGAATATCCTTTATCAAACATCGCTCGGTGATCTCGCCCTTTGTGACACACTTGACGGGATACAACCACAACATATCATCCACAGTGCTTTCTGGATTTCTTGATTTCGAAACGCATATATTACAGGATTGATGATGGAATTGTAAGTGGCGGGCAACAGGGTGGCATAGGTGTAAATTGACGGGTAGGTGTAATCAGCTATTAAAGAATACAAGGTGAAAGGCATCCAACAGGCGGCAAATGTCCCCAATATTATAGCCAAGGTAGACACTCCTTTTCGAGTTGTGACGTAATGGGAAGTAGCCAAAAAATGGTGCTGCAAAGCGATTTGATGTGCGTGCCTCATCACTATTTTACAGATCTGGATATAGAGCTGCAACATTAAGGCAAACATAAGCAGGAAGGAGACGGAAAGTGCGGCTGCATTGTTTTTCGTAAGAGGCCTTATCACACTACACGTCGATTCATCCTTAAGGCAATTCCAACCCATAATGGGCAATAGTCCGACGCAGGTAGACGCTCCCCACAGAAGTACAAGCATGACGTACGTGAATGTCACAGTTCTTTCTGAGTTATAAGTCAAAGCGTAGTAGAGCGATAGGTATCGGTCAACTGTGATAGCAAGCAAGCTGCAGACAGAGGCACAGAAAGAGGCAGCGATCAGTCCTACTGTGACAAGCTTGGCAACTTCTGATTGTAGTAGATAGGCAAAAATAAAATTGACAATCAATCCAACACCTGCCAAAAGGTCTGCCAGAGCCAGGCTGCCAATTAGGAGGAACATAGGGGCACGGAGACTAGGATTATGGAAGATGATAAGTACCACAATGGCATTTTCGCAAGAGATGAGGGTTCCTGATGTACAGAGAACGATATCCCACGGGTTGACGAGAAGCTGTGGTTCAGGCGGTGGTTCTAGCACTGGGATCAGAGAGGAAATTGCAGCTGATACATTCTCTGGAGAGCTGGTTTCTACAAGGTCCTGAGACAGCCAGCTTATATTAACTTTCAGATCTTCATTCATTTTAACCTTCTTCAACAAAAAGACATGGTTATAATAAGCATTTCAAAGCAATGGAGGATTCTAAGATCATGCAAAGATTTTAGCCTATGAAAGGTCAAATGGGTGGTCAACACAACTGCAAGGCTCTACACAGCCAATCCCTCTGGGCCTCATAAGGGTCTTCTATTTTATTTAATTTTAACGCTGCCATATTAGTGATTTGCATATACATAAAAATACTTATAAAAGACACACGCACACACAGACAATTTCGAATAGGCATAGCTTAAAAAAAATTAAAATAAATAAAAGGATCTCAGCATTGCATCCTTTTAATCTAATGAAATAAATGCACTGCATGGTAAAAATAAAATAACATACAAATAATTAATGACAATAATTGAAGAGGAGGAGGTCTCATGGGTGAAGGGGCTTCACAGGCGTTTTAGTCACAATTATAATAAATGAAGGTTCCTTGTGCACCCACAATATAAATAGCCATTTGTTCCATTTTTCACAATCTAAGACATCATAATCAGAAAGGACAGCCTAAAAATGGCATCAAATGCAAATCCTCAAATTTTAAATTATTCTTTATATTTTTTTTGCAAAAACACACACACACACACACACACACAAACACATGAAATTAAAGAATAAAAATGAATAAGGTGTGATATTGAAAAACAGCATGCATTCCATGCCCTGCCATCCCTCCCCATCTCACATCCCCCTATTTAATTTGGCTGGGGAGGGGTGATTAGGAAGGATACATTGTAATGAAATATGTGGTCACCTTGAAAGTGTATCTGCTGGTTCCCTGACTGATGCTCCTCTATCGACCTGAGATAGGATGGGTTGCCTTTATCCCCTGCATGGTCCTTTCCTGGTGCAGGGTGAGGGCAGCTGCAGGTGGAAGCACAATGGCAGTCAGGGGGTGAGAATGGGCTGCTCTCCGGGCACACATAGCTTGGATGACTGCTGCTGCTGGCTGCCTGTAAGAGGCAGAAAGGAGAGAGACCAGCGGAGCGCGCTCCCGTGAACACGAGCACGCCTCCCCAGCAGCATGCGCGCCCCCGCTTGGACGCTCGTCCCCGCGCCTCCACTGCAGTGTCTCAACTGCTAGAACAGCTTCAGTGATATCAGATCTTTAATATTCATTTAGCCTAATTTATGAGACGTGCCTGGGAGGGAGATGCATGGCCTATTTAAAGTCCAAGCAAGGACAGGGTTAAGTAGTACACATAAATAATATATCCAAACAATAGTTGGTTACAGTACCAATAAATTATTAACCTGTCTTGGACAGCTAGCTCTGTATTGCAGAGCAATGTATAATCTCTTTGGAAACTGTAGCCATGGTATAAGGGTGGTAACTATATGCATTGTGTTCAATTAGGCTAACTGGGCTTCCATCCATTGGGTTGTCATTTTTAAAATTTTTATTTTTTAATGTGTTGGGTAATATCTTGTAAATCATGTATTTATACAATAGGTTTATAAAGCTCAGTAGTGATGTCGATGGTATCTTGGTCCGAAATTACTTTAGTAGCGCAGGAATCAAGTAAAATAAATAAATGTTCATTGAGGTAAATGGAATGGGAACCAGCCAGGGTGTCAGTCAAAATATTTTATTTCACTCTAAGCTCCAAAATAACTTTAGCTTAATGAAGCAGTTTCACTGCTCAATTCTCTGCCATTTAGGACTTGAATCAGTTTTTTGTTTATTCAGCTTGTTTATTTCTACTTTGCTAATTTAGACTAAATATTCCAAGTTGGTTGTCAGCTTACCACAACACTACTTTTAGACAAACGTAATTTGTCCTCATTTTTGTAAGTATTGGTTGTGTTATAGGAGAAGGAGGTGACATCCTGGGTCAACAGTTGGCTTAAAGGGATACAAAGCTGTATTCCTGGCACTATCGCTCCCTCTGCTTCCCCCCTCCCTCACGCCCACCGCCTGGGTAAATAAAGGGTTAAGAACCCTTATTTACTTACCTTTTCCCAGCGCCGATGCCCCTCTGTGCTGGGCCAAAGCTCCGCCCCCTTCCGACAGCCTGTGACGAACCGGTGCTAATGCGCGTGCGCGGCAAATGCAGTGCGCGCATTAGAGCTCCCCATAGGGGGTGTCCTCATGCAGAGCAGATACCAGACTAAAGATCCGTTTCGATTCAGGAAGCCCTCCAGTGTCGGTCTGAGTATTCAAAGCCCTTATGGGTCAGAATTAGGCTTTCTACATGTCACACATATCATCCATAACAGCTGGCGTGACTGTTGAAAAATAAACGTAACTTCTCTCATTAGCCCATAGTCCATCACTGCATAAAAGGTGAATTAGATGCACATTTAGAGCCAAGCTGACACATGCAAGTTGACTACCAGTTGTCTGCCAGCCGACAATACGCACTGTACTTTCTTCCTAGGTTAATGATGTTTTGGGGACAAAGTGTGCACAGCCTGTGTTTGTGCTCTCTTTCTCCATGAACACACGTGCCCATCTCAGTCCCTTGTACCATCTGCAATGACACTCATTGTTTTATATTGTATTCTGTTTTGTTTTATTTAGTTTGTTCATGTGTTTCTGTGGCTAACAATAAGATATTCTTTTGTAAAAAAAAAAAAAAGAAATTATAATGACGTTTTGCAAATAAAAAATAACTTTCCTTCAGAGCAGGAGTTAATGGTAGTGGTACACTAGCAGGAAACATTTTTAACCATAAGCATGCTCTTTGCATGTGTTTCCATCAGTGTGTCTATCTCTTGGAGTCTGTATTTGTGTACGTGTCTCAGTGGCAATACTTGTTTGTTTGCTCTTTCTCTGTGTGTGGCAATCTGTATGTGTGTAACAATGTATGTCTGTATATGAATATGCTTCAGCAATTATACTCCAACATTACACACAAACACACAGCTGCATTCACACACCAACACTACACACAATCACACCCATGCATTCAAATGCCAAAACTACACACGAACCCAGTCCTGCATTCAAACATTAAAGGGATACTATAGTGCCAGGAAAACAAAGCTGTATTCCTGGCAATATTGCTTTGCCTTCCCCCTTCCTCGTGCCCCGTGCCACAGTGCATAAAGGGTTAAAAATCCTTTATTTACTTACCTGATCCCAGGGCTGATGTCCTTCAGTGCTGGATCATGGCTCTGCCTCCTCCAACGTCACTTGACAAGGAGGCGATAATGCACGTGCGTGGCAAGTGGTGCACGCAATAGGCATCCTGTAGGAAAGCATTGAATCTTTGCTTTCTTATGGGAAAATACCTAATGCTGGATGTCCTCACGCAGAGCGCAGAATTACATTAACATTTCAGAAGCACCTCTAGTGGCTGTTTGGTAGACAGCCATTAGAGGCTGTCTTAGTGCTGCTGTGTAAACATTGCAGTTTCTCTAGAACGGCAATATTTAACATTGCAGCACTAAGTGCAATAGGGACACTGTATCCAGACCACTTAAATTAGCTGAAGTGGTCTGGGTGCCTATAGTGTCCCTTTAACACTACACTGAAACACACAACTGTATTCAAACACCAACACTGTACACAGCAAGAGCCCTGTGTGCAAACACCTGCATTACACGCAAACACATCATTGCATTCAAACACCAACATTGTATGCAAACACTAAAAGCACAAACATACCGCTGCATTCAACTACTAATATTGAATACAAATAAAGTCCTGTGTGCAAACAGCAGCATTATACACATACACAAACATTCACACACTGCGTACAAAGGCACACCTATATTCACACACAGGCACTGCTGACAAACAAAACCTTACAAGAATAGGTAAATTGTAGATCCACAGCTGTCAGTGTATTGTGGGAGATCTACTTTTTAGCCACCCCTACTCTACCTTTTTTTTGCACCAGGGTTCCTCTTTAAATTAGTTCCGCCACTGCCTCGGGACTCACTTGTCTAATCCATCTCCTACATTTTACTAGCAGGGGGAAAGTTGGTTCTGGTATGCATCCTGGGACGGAGAAAGTGGTGGATGTAGGAAGGGGAAATGAGACATGTGAGGATGTTCCTATTAGAAAGCAACATTTGCACAGTGTGCAAAGTAACCTTTAATTTAACTCTTTCATGGCTGGCCAGTCCACAAAAGATTTACTACCCTTCTTTCCTCTTGTGTCCACACACTCCCCTACTTTTACACAACATTATAAAGTACGAACATGTTATCCATACTAAAAAAAAAACACAAAACATTTGTTACGTCAGAATCAATGGGCCTATTCTGTAAGCATGGGCCTGTAGCTGTGGTTCCATAACTTCCATTATTATTCTGTCCCTACATAGTGGACCATGTGCGCCCACTAGAAGATTTTTGATCTGCTACTTGGAAGAGACACAAAGCTCAGTCCAAGTTGTGCGCATGCTGCATGTAAACATTGGACAACACTGACCTCAGTTATCCAGAACTGAGCATTCCAGCTGAATGACCTACAACTCTATGGCCTGACTTACAGTTGCAGCTTAGAGTGATCTATGCAACATCACCTTGAATGAATGAGGCAGTGCTTAGGGTAATATTTAAGTGAAATGGTTTAAAGCAAAAGTGGAGACATGTGGTTGTCATTTCCACAATGCCAAATGATGTGGCATCAATCCGAGGCTCTTAGCTTTTTCTATGGTAGGGAGCAATATTAGGTGCATGCCATTAGTTCTGCAACCTATTGTTTGGTTGTAAAATGACCTCATGGCACATCCGCTTGTAATACCATACATTAATATACAGTATTACACTACTAATAGGTTCTTCCCATTATCAAATGGGCTTCCATTACAACGGGGAAGTCACTGCTGCTATTATAAACAAAGTCTGATCATACTCGCTATTATTACATACACTTTGGATCTGAAATCTGCCTAAATCATATTACTGACAGCAACTATAAATATAAAGAAAATAAATGTTATCTTTGGAGCTAGCAATACCTGCCAATGTCCAGTTCTTCATAGCAGAGTATGAGTTTAAGCCATGTTCATTTATAAAATGC